CTCGACCGGACCAAGACCTCATCAACCACAGGTGGTCACTCGAGACTCACGTCAGGCATGGCAACTGCGTTAAGTGTGGTAGTTATATGACCGTAGCGGAACTTAGTCCAAAGTTACCTGGTGACATCGACATAGTTTGGTTGAAACAGATCAGCTGCTCGATGTTGACAGGCTGAAATACGACGAAGCGTTGCGGTCGGCCTACCACAACAAAGCAGAGGGTTATTTTAGGACTTCATTTAGTTCCCAGCCTGGAGGCGGCAGCATCAATTAAGCATACAAAGACTTCAAAGAAGCCGTCAGTTTTCTCGTAGAAGAACATGCTTTGGGTCATGATAAGAGGCGCCAAACTGCCTGGGTTACAAAAATGACCATAGCAAAAGAATCACACAACAAAAGAGTGCCTGCAACAGCTTACTGCATCTTCGAAGGCAGCTCATGGCCGTCTCTCTTGCGCAATCAATCAGAGCTACAGTCCGGGCAGGCAACTTTGACTGGCGGAAGAAATGAGGAAAATCGATAAAAACAGCTAGAAAAGGTGACTGGCCAACTGTGTTAAAAGAAGTGCAACCGCTGTCCGGTAGACAGACGACTCAGCTGTCCTTTTTCAAGACGCGAAAAGTGGGTGTTCTATTGGCAGGTCAGAAATAATGGGCTAAACCTTTCCTGCAATTGTTCAACGGTTGCATTCTAGATTCGCCATGTCTGACAGTCATGTGCCAACATTTGAGCATAGTACAGAATCACCGGCAAAATTAGAAATCCAGAAAGCCTTGCTCGGTGTAAAGAAGGCTCGCGGGGTGAATCGAATTCCTCCGAAGTTAATTGAGTATGGAGAAACGAGAACGGTAGAAAATCTTCATGCCCTCTTTTGTGAAGTGTGTATCTTCAAACATTTCTCAGGACAGTAAAAGTGTGGAGTAGTTGTATCTATATTTAAAGGGAGTGACCAATGAGTGTTCGAATTACCGCGGAATCACAATATTATAAACTCTTGGGACACTCTAGCCCGTGATAGCCTTGGAGAAACTGAGTCAGGCAGTCGAAGGAGACTTTGCCACATCAAGCTGGCTTCCTGATGGGGTACTGCTGCCTGGACCAAATTTTCACTCGTGCAAGGTCCCGGATTCCAGTTATTTTGCTTTGCCAGTATCTTCGACTCTGAAGCAGCATTTGATTCTTTTCGTCGTGCGACGATGTGGAAAATTTCAGAATGCTTGGGATACTTGAACACGTCGTTTTCATTGTGGAAAAGATGCATG